TCTAAATATAACCATATTAACTACTTTGAATGAAAATGTACTGAACACTCCTATTTTTCAATAGGAAAAAGCAAAGATTTCAGATTGAATTTTTCAAAAGGCAAAAGCCAACTGCATGCTGCCTATAAGATACAGATTTTAAATCAAAGAAACAAATAGATTGAAAGTAGAAATCTGGAAAAAGATATAGCAAACAAACAGCAAGCTTAAGCCATATAGCATAATGACTATATTAATAGCACATAAAATAAACTTCAATAAAAAATAACACTTGGTAATGACTTAAAAATTAATATAAGAAGAAGCCATAAATATAAATATATATATAAGTTTAACAACAGCACTTCAATATATATAAAGCAAAAATTGGAAGACTAATTGAAAAAATAGACAAATTCTGAAATGTAGTTAGAACTAACTCTTCTTTTGGTTATTGATAGAAAAAAGCAAAATATCAGTTAAGACACAGAAGATGTGAACAGCACTATCAACCATCTTGACTTAATTAATACATATATAAAACACTATACTCAACAACTACAGAATATATATTCTTTTCAAGTGAACATGGTATGTTCACCAAGATAGACCACATGCTGGCATCTAAAATAAGTTTCAACAGATTTCAAAAGATCGAAATCTTGCAAAGAATTAAATAAGAACTCAATGATAAATCATCTAGCAAAGTTCCAAATATTTGAAAATTAAACACATTTCCCAATAAGAAAATAATAATAATAACCCATTTCTGGGTGCAGAAAAGGATAGATTGCAAAGTGGCAGGAAGAAACTTTGGGGAGCAATAGAAAAGTCCTTTAGCTTAATTGTAGTTCTGGTTTCACAGAGTGGATGCATCTGTGAAAAATCCTTGAATTGTGTACTTTAAGTGGATGCAGTTTATTGCACATATACCTCAAGAAATTTGTCTTTAAAATTCTCCAGTAATTATATCTAAAAGTAATTAGATACCTGCCCTCAAAGGCTTTGAAATTCAGAAAAATAAGTTACCTGACACCGTTTCTGTGCTACATAATAAAGTCTGGGGAAAGTTCTTCACAGGAATCATAATCTTTGCTATTTGACCTAGATCTTAAAGCACAGGTAGTTGCACCAGACACACAAAGGAGGAGGTTTCTGAAGGTGGAGGCAACAGCAGTTACAAAAGTGAGAGGTAAGAAAGTAGGTATAGTGAATTTGATGACACAGGAGATAAAACAAAAAGGTTTATTTGGGGCCACTGTATTCTATTCCAAGAAGTGTGGAATTAGCTGTGAAGGCGAAGAACTTCTGGAACTTTTAAAGAAACCAGTGACATGATGGAATGGGTATTACTAGTGTTCACCTATTTCCCCTGCTCTCTTCCCAGGCATGATCACATGACCAGTTTGTACAATGAAAGGTGAGCAATGTAACATCACATCCAGGTGGAAGTTTGTATGAAGATTTGTGATTTGATACATTCTTTTTCCTTCTGAGGCGATCAGAGAAGAACATCTTGAAAAGGAATTTTCAGGAAGTCCCTGAGTGGCAATAATAAGCAGAGCCATGCTCCCAGCTCCACTTACATCTCCCAGCCCTGCCATTAATATGTTAGTGTAAATGGCGGGAAAATTCCCATGACTGCAGGCCTCTGGATTTGGGGATTATTTGCAACTGCCCCCAAAGTCACCAGACCTTGCTAGCACAATGGGCCATTTTATTTTATTTTTTTGAGTTAGAGTCTCACTCGGTCGCCCAGACTGGAGTGCAGCGGCCGCTCCCGGCCACCGCAGCCTCGCCTGCTGGGCTCCGGCGATCCTTCCGCCTCAGCCTTCCAAGTAGCCGAAATTGCAGGCATGAGCTACCACGCCTGGCTGATTTTTTAATTTATTGTAGAGATGAGGTCTCGCTGCCCAGGCAGGTTTCGAACCCACGGGGTCAGGCAATCCACTCAACTCAGCCTCCCAAAGGCGCGGGATTACAGGCTGAGCCACCGAGCCCGACTCAATGTGCAATTTTAAATGGCACCTCTGCCAATTCCATAGAAGATGGGCTTCAGAGGAGAAAACTTAGAGGAGAGGCAACCAGCTAGTATAATCTACTGATGATCAGTGAAGGCACTAGGGGCAGGAGCCTGGAGTTTAGAGAAGCAGTGGAAGAATCTGGAGATGTCATGGCAGGAACTGACATGAACTGGTAATCACTCCGAAATTCTGAAAGAGGTAGGAGTCTAATTGTTTCAGAGGTGTTGAAGAGAGAACGTTCTTGAAAGAAAAGGGATGACTAAGAGGGGAGATGAAGTAAAAGAAGATTAAAGAAGCAGCTATGGGGAGCCCGGAGAAGTGTATCTCATCAAAAGCAGAGGCCCATCCCTACACTCATACAGTGAAGGCTAGCGGAAGATCGTGAACTTTGGCAGAAAGCCTGAGTGTGAACACTGGGTGAATCTGACAAGTCATTTAACCCCCTCATTAATTCAGCAAATAGTAAAAATTCCATTCATTCATTCAACAACTTCATTCATTCAAAAACGCCAAAAAGACCCTGCTCAAATGGGGCTTACACTGGAATATAGGGAAGTAGATACAACATATTTAAACAATGTGCAGAAAACAGACATGGTGCCCTTACAAAAATGGGGGAAAGTAATTAAATAGGGTTTATCAAAGGCAATGATAACTCATTTTATTCAAAAATGTATGCTATCAAAGTCAAAACTGGAAGTCTCTGTGTCTTTTGTATGTGCAAAAAAGAGCCATCCTCCTCACCTTTTACTTTTTTTACTTGTAAAGAACCATCTCTTGACCTCAAGACATTTTTTTTAAATCAAGAATTCCAGTTAACACTACCTGGTGAGCAGACCAAACATTGTACTAAGGGAGAGGATGTGGGTATTGTGGGGAGGTGTAGAGGTGGGGAATGGGGGTGGGGGGTTGAAGATGGCTTTTAGTTAAGCCACTTATCAAAGTTTCAGGTGTGTATACATCGCCTGGAGGTCTTGGTGAATGTAGGTTCTAATTCAGTGTGTCTGGGGTCAATCTGAGATTCTGAATTTCCAACAAGCTCTCCGGGATGCCAAAGCTGCTGGTCCCAGGATGCCAAGGCAAAGTTCTAGAAGCCTTGGATATGTATTAACCTCAAGGGAGCTCATGGGCTATGTTTGTCTCTTACCCATTTGGTATTGGGTTCAGAAAAGCATCTCTACCCTGTGCCACCATTTCCCATCAGGGCCACCTGTTTTTCTTTATACAACCGAAGAATCAAATTCCAATATGTGATTGTTATATGAAGACCTGGACAAAGGGTTTTTGATGGATTATTAGATTTGTACAACTCCCTGAGGTGGGTACCATGATTATCCCTATTTTACAGAAGAGAGGACTCTAGCCCAGAGAGGTTAGGTCACTCTAATAAGTATGGAAAGGATTAAAAAATCCAGAGTCCACTCCCAGAGATCAAGCTCTCACTTTTGCTTCTTTCTTACAGTATTTACATAAGTTTCTTTCCTGTTTTGTTCCTGCATCAGAAATGACTTGCAGTTGATTGCTGCCTCCTATTCCAAAGGTGATAAAGCCAAGTCTGGTCTTCCATCAAAATAACTTGGTCTCAGGAAAAGGCAATTAAAATTCAAATTGAGAAATCTTCTAAAATTCAGCAAAGAGAAGGAACATTTAAAATTAGCATCATGATTTTTTTTAGGAATTAATGTCAGTTTGTGAAAGATTATTGTGCACCTCTCAGAATTCTTGGATTCTATGGCTTAATTCGCATACCACCCGCTGTTTTATCCTACAAGGATAGCAGAAGCTTCCAAAGGAACCTTCCCTACCAATAGGGAGAAGCTGCTAAGTACCACACTGCAACCTCTGTGGTTTGGGTACAAATTCCACAATGTTCCTAAGTCTTAATAAAGAGCTTAATATATGTTCTTTTCTTTTCCACTAAGAAGAGACCCTAATTAATGCAACTAGCCAAAATGTGCATGAAAAGAGTGGCTCTTTAAACTTGGTTGAACATGGGAATTTCCAGGGAGCTTAACTACACCCTGTTACCTGACTCCCACCATGATATAATTGACTTGAGACGATCTGGGTATCAGAATTTTTAGATGTTCCTGAAAAGATTCTAATGTGCAGCCACAGTTGAGAATCACTGGCATAAAAGACAGAAGGAAGTATGTAAAATTCACTCTACAGTCAAAATGAAGAGGGAGCAGAGGAATGTCTTCATTCCCTGTTAACGGTTTTGACTACCTACATGGCTACAAAATCTGAGATACTAGTGGTCTCTGATTCTAACTGCAAGCAAGGTGTTCCCTCTACTCAGTGACCCGCTGAACGACCATGCTTGGTGTTTGACAACTAATGACTGCAGATATCAGCCACAATGCTCCAAAGCAAGGGTTCTTAACCTGGGGACAGAATTCCCCAGGGGAAAAAAAAAAGGCATCTTTATTTTTTACTGATGTTTCACAGAAGTTCAGCATGTCCTTCAGTTATGATTAGAGGCAACAGACCACCGTCGTACGGGCAGTTCTTGAGAGTTTGCACACTCTGGTATTTCCGTGTCACATTGCAATTTGAGCTGTTATCTCAAAATACCATTTACAGCAATCACTGCTTTATTACAGTTGTTTGACAGACCTGCCGTTAGAGCTAGCTATTTAATGCAATAATGATGATACCCGTGGTTTTCCATATCATGACTTTAGTACTCGATCACTGCATTTCCATAAAACTGATTCGGATTTCATTGTATTTTATGCATTCAGCAACATTATTCTGAGAAGGGATATAAATGCCTCGCGGGAGCCGAGTGGTCCGTGGCACAAGGAAGGGCAAGAGCCCGCTGGAAAGCGGTGCCCGAACAAGCCAGAGACCGCATATTTGCATCCAAGGCCACCTCCAGGAAGGGCACTCTCGGGAGGGAGACTCCCAGACCAGAGTTGGGTCTTGTTTTCCCCGGCACTTCCGCAGATAAGATTTGGCCTGGAAAGCCAGTTCAACCTAGCAGAGAATAGGATGGGCTTTCTCTTTCTCCTCAGTTGCCTCCTCCGCTTGGCATTTGGGAGTGCCCCGAGTGCCAGACCGGTAACTCGAGCTTCCAAATTAATCAAAACACACAGCGCCCCAGGCAGACGAGCCCGGGAGCCAGACAAACTCTCCTCTGGTGACCCCCCGGGCCACAGCTCCCCAGCCCGGTCCGCCACCCCTTGGAAACCACGCTTCCTCCACTGCCACCCCCGCCCCATCTTCTCCCAGGCAGGTGCTCCGGGCCCGGGGGCAGCGGTTGCCCAGCCTGGGGCGCCTTACCTCGGGGGACGCCCGCAGCTCCCGAGTTGCCGCCTCTCCCGCCAGCCAGACGCACACCTCTCGGCTCCGCCTCGTCCGAATCCACCCCGACCAGCTGCCTCTTCCCGGCGCTCTCACGGCCAAGTCCGGCTGCAGTGGGAGGCGGGCTGGCGAGGGGAACGCGGCCAGATGCACGGCCGCGGGCGCTGCGAGCAAGCGGGGCCTCCCGAGTGCAGGCGCCCAGCGCGCCTCCCGCTTAATCTGGGCAGGGCCGCTGGCCACTCCCTCCACCCTGCGCAGCCACCTCCCCACCGCACACCCCGAAATTCCCCCCTCCAACCTGCACCCCCACATCCCTCCTGGGCCCCGAGACCTCGGGAGCATCCCCTCCTAGGACCCTCGCCCTGGATCCGCGCCCACCTGTCCCGCAGGCGCCCAGCCCTTCCTCGCCTCCTGGGCACGATGCCCGGGATCGAAGGGACACTGCCCGGTAAGTCGGGAGGGAGGGGGCACGAGGGCGGGACCTGAGCCACGTCTTCCCTCCCTTGGAGCCACAACCAAAAAGCCTGGGTGGGGAGGGACGGACCGCGCGACTGAGCCCTACAAAACCCGCCCTGACCGGCCAGCGAGGCGAACTTCGCAGCCGGGGCTCCCCAACCCGCGCCGCGCAGGGGACGCGGTGGCCCGAGAGCCTGCGGGTCCCTGGACGCGCCGGGGCCCTAAGTGGGAGCCCACCATGCGCCCCAGGACGGCGCCCAGGCCGCCGGTGCTGCAGCTGTCGCTCCTGCTGGTGCTCCTGGCGGCGGCGCCTGCGGCCAGCAAGGTGAGTGCGGGGCCCTGTGACCCCCACCACCCGCCCTGCGACCCCCCACCCGGCGTCCGGGGACAGGCTGATCCCACCCGCGAGGGCGCTGTCCTTGAACCGCTGCCGGGTCAGTGGCCCGGCTACGGGCTCCACGGAGGTCTCGGGACTGGCAGCGCGGAAGGGAGGTGGCGGGGATGCCGTGGAACAGGTGGAACGCGGGGCTGAAGGAAGAGGCGAGGAGCGGGCTTGTCCAGCTCCCTAGACGTCAGCGATGCGGGGAAAGGGTCTCAGAGGTCAGCCAGTAAGTAAATAGATAATTGCCAGGGATGATACGTGAGAACGCCGGATACGGAGGCGCACGACGACCCGTTGGTGAATCACAGCCGGCAGCCGGGCCCGGCTGAGGGCACCGAGGGCTGGCAAGAGACACCTGCGGGAAGTCCCTGCCGCCACTTCCTAGTCATGACCTCACACCAGACTCTGACTTCTTTGGGGCTGAGTTTCCTCCTTGTCAAAACTTGCTCTACAGTGTTCCATTGCAATTGCTGGGAAAAGCAAATGCTATCACTGAAAAATTGAGAGCACCTTAGAAATAAAACTCAGGTTAGAATACATTGAGCAACCTGTCACTTTGATTTGATTTCTACATGGCATTTGAGTGATCCTGAATTCATTTAAATCCACCTCATAATTCCTATTCTTTGCCATTAAAGATAAATCGTGTGTCCTCAAATCCAGGATGCCTCCTAGAATGGGCTTACTTGATTTTTAACTAGTGAAAGTGAAATTTAACTTTTCAGATGCTTTGTGTTGTTTTAACACTTAAGTTAATTTGAGTGATAACATGATATGGTAAGTTTCATTTCCAAGGATGAGCAGATGGTTTACAAATTTTATGATTAAGATTATGATTGGAAACAGTCACAGAAATATTTGTGTGTTAAATAAGAAGTTTTAGAACCTATGGCCACATATAATACAAGTTTTTTTCTATTTAAATTAAATTTTAAATTTAGAAATTGCAGATGAATCTAAAACCTCCTTTGACCACCCTCATAACTCTTCGATTTTCCTGTCTTCCAAGAAGTACCTACTTCCAAGGCTTTCATGTTTTTTCCAGATACTTCCCATTCATTTACATACATATATATGGCCCCACAAACTACATGTTTTTGTTTGTGTTTTTTAACATAATCAATACCATGCTGTACACCATATCCTTTTGCAACCTACTGTTGCAATCTGTCCACGTCAGTATTCAAGATCTACCTCTTTTTCTTTTTGCTCTGTTGCATAGTCTTTCACAAAATGCCAAAGTCATTTGAACCATTCCTTTATCAATTTACATTTAGGGTAGTTAGTGTTTCACATTCTAAAGGATTTTTGTAATCTATGTAATCTCTTCATGTAGCTGGTTCTAACAAAATTCTTGCATAGACTAAGAATTCCCAGCCCAGGTAATTAAACACTGTCCAGAGTGAGAGTTAAAACTCATCCAAGCCAGTGTGGGTTATCTGCCAGAAATAAATAAATCCAAAAGCTAAGGTATTCTAAAGGCAATGTATGTTGTGAGTAGGCCTGAGGAAGAGTTTCAGAGCAGGGTTTGTACAACTTTTTGGAATCAGAAGAAGAAGACTGAGATTGGGAAGGGGTGGGACATTGTACTCGTAGAAGGATCAGCTTGAAAAAGGAATGCTGTGGGACCATGCAGCCTCATTTCCAATTCTACCATGATATTCCCTTATTATTTTTACATGCAAAACTTTCTGTTTTGAGTTTCGCCAAAGCTTGGTGACCTTCTGCTGATATTACAATTAATCTATTTGCATTGTTTTTCTCATCACTTGAAGTAAGTCTTTGTTAAATGTTTTAAGGATTATCATTTTCAGTGGACCTGTGGGGTTATACAGAAACTATGCATTAAAATCATGAAATGTGCCTTCAACTTAAAGAAGAAAAATCACAACATGTTAACTGATCATTGGGTGACATGGACCAACATGGCTCCCTTCACAGAGAAACTCTGACACTGGGCAAGGCAGTTGACTACTCTGACCCTCAGTTGTCTCATCTGTAAAATGAGAGAGTAGAAAGTCCTCTGAGGCAGCAGGTGAAGTGATGAATGAGGCAAAGAGATGGGGGCAATCTTCAGAACCAGCCAGCTGTTGGCATTCTAGAACTGGTCCAGTCATGTCAGAATCACTTCAGGAGAAAAGATGGCAACGGAGTTTATATTAGAAACGTCTCAAATTCGAAGTATTAGCAACCAAGTCAAAACTTTACAAAAAAAACATAGTGTGAGCCAAACAATGTATAAGTGAGACTAAATTTAGCCTCTGAGTCATCATATTTCATTATCTTCGTATTACACTAGTTAAGGACATGTTTTGCTCTAAATTTTTCCAGTTTTACTTTAGCATTTCTCAAAACAGAAAGACAGCACTTACATGCCAAGTTTAGACAGGGTGGAACTGTCCACCCACACAATTTGTACCGATGCACCCAGAGTGAAATACCTCTGCTGTTTTGCTCAGGCATTCAGTTCCAGGCTGGCTGCTGAGCCTGTCCCCAAGTTCTATAACTGTGGGGCCCTGCTCACCCACTTGAGACAGGAGGCACTTTGCTATTGCCTCAGGCTATAGATCTGGGAGTGGAGGTATAGAAAACCCCTTCAACTTCTAGGTAAGGCGAGGCTCACAAATTAAGATGTCATGGTTTATCCTTCCTCTTTTGGCTTTATAATTCCAGACAGAGCAGAAATATAAGCGGCAAATACCAAAAGCTAAAAAACAGCTGCATTTAAGGAGGAGGTTTTCTGACATGATTTCATTTTCTTAATTAAAAAATTTCAGTTGAGTTAGAAAACCTTTCAAACAAAGTAAAGTAACAGACACGAATTTGTCTGAGATTAAGCAAATGTTAATAAGCTTAGAGTTTTTTTGTTCTCAGATTAATTTCTCTACAGAAAAAAATATGAATACAGAAAGTCATATACACAATCTTTAATTCCTCTTCCATCCCCAAAAGTTTTTGTACATCATTCTCCTGCACAATTTTGTATTTATCCTCTGTGTGTGTATGTGTTTGTGTGTGTATATGGAGTCTCCACAAAAAAATAAATATTATTGTTTTGTGGTCTTTCAAATGTAATACATATTTTCTCATTATGCATATCTATCAAAGCTTCTTTTTACCATTCAATATTATGTTTTTGGATTTTGTCCATGTTGATACATATAGATAGAATTTATTTGTAGTAATAATTGCTGCATGGTATCCAATTATATAAATAAAACTTGGTTTCTTTTTCATCCCCCTAAACAGAGTAAGTTTGTCTTCACATTTTCATTTTACAAAGCTGCAATACATATCTTTGTATAGGTACCACTGTGACAACTAGAATTTGAGGTCTTAAGTGGTTCATAAAGAAAACATATTTTAAATTTTTTAGGATAATTATCAAGTTGATCTCCAAAGGGATTGTACCAACAGTGTCCAGAGTACCTATTTCTCCATATCTTTGGCAAAACTTAGTGTGCTCAGATGTTAATGGGTGTGAAATGAGATCTTGTTTTGACCAGTGAGCTTGTAAACCTTTTCTTATTTTAATTGACCATTTACATTTCCCTCAGTGTGAAATGCATGCACAACTTTCTGCCTACTTATCTATTATAAACTTTGCCTTTTGTTACTAAGTAATTAGAAGTTATTTGTATATTTGGATACAAAAATTTTGCCATTAAATGTAGAGCACATATTGTATTCCAATATTTGGTTTATCTTTTCATTTAGTTATTGGTACCTTAGGTATAATACCTTTTTCCACTATAATCTCATTTATATCTTTCTTTAATATTTTGTCTTTTGCACCTTGTCAAATAAATTATTTCTTTTCCTGGGATTATAAAAAAGTTTTCCTACATTAAGAAAAAAAGTTTTACAATTTAACCCTTTACATTTAGATCTCTTAATGAGTTTCTACTTATGGGATCTGATTACATCTTTTTCCATATAGAAGACAAATTGTCCCAACATTTTTTTAATCAAATAATACATTCCTTCCCTCAATGTTTGGCACTGTTATATCTGCAAACATATATCCCAAGCAACCATTCATAGATAGGCCTATCTGTAAACTCTCTATTCCATTGATCCCATTTTTTTCTCTACAACACCACCACACTAATTTTGATCACTATATTTATATTAAACCTATATTTGGTAGGAAAAGAACAAGATAGAACAGTTATCCCTGATGTTGTCTTTCTCTAAAATTATCACTGGTATTCTTCCATGTTTGTTCTTCTGGTTGAATTTTAGTATCTGCTTGTCAAAGCTTCATCAAACATGCCTATGGGACATTTATTAGTATTGCATTGAACATATAGGTTAACTACTTGTTACTGGAACATAAACACATGGATAGTGCATATAAATGCGAATTATTTTTAATTTCTGATCTTATTGAGTTTTCTTATTACTTCTAATAATTTGTAGATACATTTAAATTGTCTGTGTAGACCACCATATTGTCAGTGAATAGTTTTTCTTCTTTTCTAATATTTATATCTTTTTTCCTTTGTCTTATTGTTCTTCTAGTTCATTGCTAAATAAAAGCAGTAACAGAAGATAATTTTGTCTTATTACTGAAGTTAAAGGAAATGCTTCTATCATTTTATTATTTTTTTTTGTTGTTGTAGAGTTTTACTAGATTCTCCTTATCAGGTTACGGATTTTCTCTCTCCCTAATATTGTTTTATTCGTTCTATCAAATGAGTGGATATGAATGTTGTCATTTATTTTGTCTGCATCTATTTTAAGAAAATCACTTATTCTTTAGTCAGTCAATATAGTACATTACTTTTAAAATATTTAACCATTCTTGATTTGCTATAGAATAAACTCTAATTGGTCATAATGTCTGTTCTTAAAACATTTTCTGTTATTAAATATGGCACAAACATGAAAAAGTACACTAACAGATGTAGGGTTTTATGGCTTATTAGTTGAATATACAT